AGGAGAGAAAAGCAGATGGAAAGCCGGCCAATCCGGGCTGGCCCAACTATGTGAAGGGAATTTTGACACCAGAGGACACAGTTGGTGTTGAATTTGAGTTTTGGGCCGGCATGGAAAGGAGTTGGGGCAGAGGCTTAAAAGTTAAACCAGCTATGAAATGGCTGACAGGGAGCAGAGACAGTGATATGTTAATCTTCAAACTGAGGTGACGTGTTCAAGCATGTCAAGTTGACTAATTGATCAGCGGCAGGGTCGAAGCACCATCCTGACAGATTCCAATTCCCCAGTGAAAGTGTAGGTAAACAGGCAGTACAAATTTCACTTCCCTCCTATTCAGTCATGGCCCAATTCACCATCAATAGGTGACGACACTTCAATACTCCCGTAAAAAACGTGCGAATATTCCCAGCACTCACTACAGAGTGATCCTAGGTCCATGTATTTGCATGTTTTTTGTGCAGCACCTTGTGGCGGCAACAACCAGTGGAGAATCCAAACGGCTCCTGTGCGGGGAGGCAATGCACTGGAGAGACTTCATTTGGTCGAAAAATCCAAGCAAGTTGGGTATCCATCCATATATCCATATCCATCCCTAGATGATGCTGAGATGCTCAAGATTGCATTGAACACAACACGGGGCCAGGAGATTCAGAAAGTAGAAGAAGAGCATCAGAAGAACTTCGCTTGGGAAGCTCGGGCCAGACGGGCATGGCCAGGCATGGCTGAAAGATGGACTGTGATGGACTATCGCTACCGACAGAACCATATATCGAACCATCCAGTGTTTAGGGTGAAAACATGGGTGAACCATTTTGTGCATTTTGTCTCTGTGCTCACAAATTTAAATCAATGAGCCAAACTGAAACAGCCTGAAGAACAACTGCGTTGACCTCACAACCCAAGAAGATTGGTGAATAGCACCTGGGTCACCTGAGTATTTGTGGCCTGCAAGCCCTGCAGTCACAAGCCTGTGTAACCAAAGTCAGGAAACTCGAAAAGACCGACTGCTTGATGTTATCGGAGAAATGGATGCGGATTTGCGCCCTGGCTCTTCATGGCTCTTCATGGCTCTTCGATGTTCCATGTGTTTTTCCCGATTTTTACGGCAAGAGAGCGAGAGAGAGAGGCCTCATCCCAATGTAGGCCAACTAATTTTCTGAGAGGATTCGGGAGCTGTATGGCAAACTCAGAAGCTTATTTGCTTACTGCAATATATTAAGTGTTTTTTATGCGAAGCAGCTCGCCATAACCAAGTTATGAACATCCACATAGCTAGCAGATGCTGAGCAGGTTTGGCATCATTGTGCCCGTGAACCATAGGCATTGCTGAGATCTTTCGACCATTTCTTCCAAAGGGGCCGCCTGCAGCCCAGGCTCTCGCTAGTTGAGTGCGACCACTACGAGGTGCAGATGAACAGCTCTGGATATTGAATATTGATGGATACTGCAAGCATACTGCAAGCTAACCGGTGCATATACATATACATATATCATATATACATATGATAGATTATAATACAGTTTATTTTGTTTTCATTGCGGGGACCTATCACATCCCACGAACAATCGCATGTCTTGCTGGGCATCAAGTAATCAAGGCCAGGACATCGGTGCAGTCATGTAGCACCCACCGAATCTCGAAAAGCTCCAGCAGTATTGCATGTGTTTGGGGACAACACTATTGGGTTGGTAGAGCCATGCTGCATGTTTGGAAAGATCCAGCTGGTATACTGGCATGATTCCTGAAATTTGCCGTAAATCGATCTAATTAACCAACTCAATTCTTCATTTTTTTGGGGGGAAATGGTCTTGGCGATTTCTACCATGATGGACGCCTTCTAGTTACATGGGATTAAACCCAATTTACTGCCAGAATTTCCACCAGGAATGCTCCCGCGCGGCCAGGATCATTTCAAGCCTGCCTTAGATCCTCGGAGAAGATCGATGGGTCAGTAGCCATGGGACCATTGGAATGGGCCTGCGAATCTCCTTGAGTCATTGCTTGGATTCTATTTTGGGGTGGTTGACCCCACACCCTAGGCTTCTCATCTACATGTATATATATTTTTATATTTATATATATATATTATTATATATATGGGGTTCCTGAAATAGGGGCACCCCCAAATCCATTTTAATGGTATGTTATTCCATTATGAACTTTCCATGTAGGTACCACCATTTATGGAAACCTCCATATTCCTTGCATTTTTGAGCCATTCACCCCCATGCCCAGCAGACTGCCCAGCACAGGAGCGCTTGGGCTACGACTCCACGTGGCGCAAGCGCCCGCGTCCCAGCAGCGCGGATGGCTGCTGCCTGGCCTGGCGACGGCAACTCTTCGACCTCGTGGCGGAGGAGTCCGTCGAGTTCGTAGCTGGGTGCTGGCTCCGGGAGAGCGGCAGCTGCAGGATGGCTTTGGGGATCCATGGGATATATAGAAAAAAATGGGAAGAAAATGGGAAGAAATCTAGGAAATTCTGAACAGAACATAACAGGACACATTATGATTAATTATTAACGTTATTAATGTTGGGTATCAAAAGTCCTTACGATTCAAAGATAGGAAATTAGTTTGATAATTCTGGGAGGTATGTATGGCTTTCGAACTGAAGAGGATAGCCCGATAAACGTCAATTCTAAAAGAACATGCTGGTCGGACAAACCCACATGCTGCTGGAAGAAACTGTATACAACCATCGGGGGGTTTCCTTGCTAGTGGATGTCTGATTTGTTTGCGAAAAGATACTGGTAGAAAAAATACTCGAACGACAAAAGACTAATGCTACTGGTAGTTGTGAAGGTCACTGTGATGATGATGATGATGATGATGATGATGGTGATGATGATGGTGATTGATGATGATCATTATTGAAGAAGAAGAAGATGATGATCATTATTGTTGATGATCATTATTGATGATGCTGGTGATGATGATGGTGGTGATGATGATGCTGATGTTGATGATTATTGATGATTGATGGTGATGATGATGATCATTATTGTTGATGATCATTATTGATGATGGTGATGATGATGGTGGTGATGATGATGTTGTTGATGATGATTTTTTGATGATGATGATGATGATTGATGATCATTATTGATGATGGTGATGATGATGATGATGGTGATGGTGATGATGATGATGATTGGTAATGATTGATAATGATGATGGTGGTGATGGTGATGACTGAAGTGGTAAGCCAAAGAAACACGTTTGACCGATTTATTTAAATATGGATACCAGACTTCCCTTTGTTCTTTCCAAACCATGTGCAGTCTACAGAGTGCACAGTCTACATAGCGTTTTTTTTTGCATGATTTAACGTGTACAATAAGATAGATAGCATGCATTTATTTTATCATTATTATGGCGTCAGTTTCAACAGAGAAACATGATTTTAACAAAAAAACACTCAAAAACAGAATCACCAAAAAAAAACAGCCGACAGGAAAAATCACCAAAAAAATCAATTAAAAAAAGAGAAAAAAAACAACAAAACTTTGATTTTTCGTTGTTTTTTTTCATTTTGTCATTTTATTATTTTGTTATTTTTTTGATTTCGGTTTTCTATTTGTTTGTCTGTTTGCTTTGATTTTGTGTTGTTTTTTGGTTGTTTTTCCCCACCTGCCAGGTGAGGGTTGTTAGATTTTATCAGAGTTGTTCTCCTCCTCCTCCTCCTCCTCGGCTAGCTGTCCTCTTCCCCACCTGCCAGGTGAGGGTTGTTAGATTTTATCAGAGTTGTTCTCCTCCTCCTCCTCGGCTAGCTGTCCTCCTTCCTCCTCGTCCTTGTCCTCCTCCTCCTCTAGTTTCTCCTCGACCATGTCTGCATCAACTTCCACCTCCACTTCCGCCTTGCCAACTCTTCGCCAAGCTCTTTGCCAACTCTCTTCGCCAAGCTCTTTGCCAACTTCCCAGCTCAGCGTGCACTGGGACCTCAACCTGGGACCTGCCCAGCTCAGTGTGCACCGCTGGACCTCAACCTGGGACCTTCCCAGCTCAGTGTGCACCGCTGGACCTCAACCTGGGACCTTCCCAGCTCAGTGTGCACCGCTGGACCTCAACCAGGGACCGTCTCAGCTCAGTGTGCACCGCTGGACCTCAACCTGGGACCTGCCCAGCCCAGTGTGCACCGCTGGACCTCAACCTGGGATCTGCCCAGCTCAGTGTGCACCGCTGGACCTCAACCGGGGACCTTCCCAGCTCAGTGTGCACTGCTGGACCTCAACGGGCAGATAGAATGCCAGAAGATATGCCAGATAGAATGTCAGATGGATTGCCAGAAGATATGCCAGATAAAATGCCATGAGATATGCCAAATAGAATGCCAGAAGATATGCCAGACAGAATGCCAGAAGATATACCAGATAGAATTCCAGAAGATATGCCAGATAGAATGCCAGAAGGTATGCCAAATAGAATGCCAGATAAAATATAAGATAGACTGCCACAAGATATGCCAGATAGAATCCCAGAAGATTTGCCAGATAATATGCCAGAAGATATGCCAGATAGAATGCCAGAAGATATGCCAGATAGAATGCCAGAAGATATGCCAGATAGAATGCCAGATAGAATGCCAGAAGATATGTCAGAATATATGCCAGAAGATATGCCAGATAGAATGCCGGATCGAATGCCAGAAGATATGCCAGATAGAATGCCAGAAGATTTGCCAGGTAGAATGCCAGAAGATATGCCAGATAGAATGCCAGATAGAATGCCAGAAGATATGTGCCAGATAGAATGCCAGAAGAATTGCCAGATAGAATGCCAGAAGATATGCCAAATAGAATGCCAGAAGATATGCCAGACAGAATGCCAGAAGATATGTCAGATAGAATGCCAGAAGATTTGCCAGTAAGAAAATGTATAAATGTCATGGTGGGGATCACTCGAAGTAAAGTAATTTATTCTTTTGTTTCATAAAACCCCATGTTCTTTGTGCTGTTGGACTCATAATTTTATCATAAATTCATGAGTTCCATCTCTAACCACCGGTTTATTGGTTTCTCCACTTGCTGGGCCATGTCCAGTGGAGCAATCCCAACAGCCACTGAGGTAGACAAGATGTGCCCCAAGGAGGCTTGGGAGAACGACAGTTTGCGATGGAAAACCACCACTTTACATAGGTAAATCATGGTAAACTCATTTGCCGTTGGCAATTTTCATCATTTTGGTCATAACTACTGAAACGATTATATACGAAGGCTAATCACTCGAAATGCTGTGTTTAATGACTGACTGAACGTCACTGAGCAATGACATGACAAACATGGTTAAATGATGTTAAATGTCTAACAGTCCAACATGGTTTGAACAAATACCACCACATGTAATATCCTCGAGATGACCATGTGTCAACGCTTACCTTTCAAACTTCCTAATGGGTAGCCAGGATGGATTTTGTCACCCGAGAGTTTCAAAGTTTGTTCCCTACTAGCAACACCTAGTAACTTGGAGCAAATCCACATTCAACCTGAACCAAAAAATACGGGATGATCTACAAAAAGAAACTTTGAAAGTTAGTTTCTAGCAATCACACGTGGTAATGGAACATCTCTATCGAGGTTTATAGCTCGGAAGATCATGGGTGATCTTCTAGCCACGTTTGAGGTCAGAGGGTATATCAGCCCCAGATGACAACACCTTTGGGGCTGAACCCTCCACATCCCAGGGCAAGGTGTATAAAGACCGCATCGCGGTGATTGCCCTGTTGCGCTCACGCATCTCGAAGCATCGGATTTGCGCCCTGGCTGGAGAAACAGAGTTCAACAGTCAAACAGTTAAATCAGGGACGTTAAAACAGCTATGTTGATGGATTTAACCCTCCTGCAACCAAAGTGGCAATGGAAAATCCCCTATAAATGAGGTTTTAATATATGTTCTTAATGGGAAAACCGCAGATGGTGGATTTTCCATTGCCACGTTTGATTACCGGAGGGTTTATAGAGGGATTAGGTTATATGAAGCAAGTTTTTGGGGATTATGAACTAAGCTGGAAGTAATGCGATACCGAGGGTACTGAGAAGGCGATGGAGAGAAAGAGCGGTATTTTTCATAGTTCGCGTCAATGCTGCCATCAGTGAAAAAAATAGAGAGTTTACAGCTGTGGATCTCTACAGAAATGTGATGGCACCATAGGAATATTTCACAATAACGCACATCAAGCTATCCTATCACTGTAACAAGCAATTTTTCCACTGTGAAAAGCACCCGGCAGGTGTGGCATCCACACATTTGCAACGAAATCCGGAGGATCCTACCCAGGATATGCTCCGAGCACGACAGGTGGCACCGATTTTTCTGCTCACACTGGACGGGTAAAGAAAAGAAAGGCCCTGAGACTTTGGGAATCTTTGAGCTATTGACAGAGGGATGTTTCAAAACCGACTAGTTGATACTATTTCTGTATTTAGGCCATAACGCATAAACAACCATTTTTTAGCATATAATACTATGTATATATTATATATATATAGTAAACAGCTGGCACATAGAATATTGAAAATAAATAGGTGCCACTAAGAATACGGAAAATACATAGCGAAACCTATTCCTGGAATGCCATCCACATAGAATATTTATCCACATAGAATATGGTGGTATATATATATGTATATTTACCTTATCAAAATCTCAAGACTCTCCAAGCAAATCGTTGATCAGTGAAATCTAAAGTAAACAGCGCGGACATCGCCATGCAACATGATGGTTTGATTCATGATCAACTCAGCACATCTTTACAAGGTTTATATTCTATGTGCATCGTCTGTGGATATGCACTTAGAATATTGTTTTCACCCAGGAAAATCATGTAACTAATAGACCTATTCGAAAAAAACAATGATGAATATTCTAAGTGCTAGCCGGTTACTATATATATATAATCAGCTCCATCTTCCATATTTGGGGAATAAACAACCATTATATAATCAGCTATGTGTGATTTTGTGTGTTCAATCTGTCCCAAGCTTTGGGTCTTTGTTTCTGTTTGTGCATTCGCTCCAGGAATCAGGCAATGACGGCAATTCCACACGGGAATTCGGATGGTAAATGTTCGATATGATTGCTGGTTTAATCATGTTATAATCATGCTTATTCTGAAAAATGTACGGGAACATAGTATTATTTTTCTTGCTGGTTAGTTGTACGCATAGTTTTTCTTTGGTCCCATTCTGATTTTTCATGAATTCTCATCGAAATCCCGAATTGTGGCGGTACACTGCATCTTCAGAGACAGGGGGGACAAGTGCTCCGAGCACTAGTGGAATTTACCAGTCAGCCTCTTGGTTGCTGATTAAACCTAGAACCAAAGATCGGCAATGTGTAGCGGTTCTTGTTTGTGGTCATGGTTGTGTCTTATACCGATACCTAACACGTGCATGTATCCGTGCAATGAATTGTTAGTTGACCTATATACGCCAGAAATTCTTCCCATCATACTAAATGTTTCATGATGGTTCCCTGAAATGAATCCATGTCAAGCGGGGTAAGTCAATTCATTTTGGTACCGCGAAGTATCGTGGATGGATGTGTTTTGGTGCAACCCACTAGGATTGGGTGCAGTTCGTCAAATTCCTAGAGCAAGCAGAACTGGAAACCCATTTATAGCCGCCGCAAATGCCAAGCAAGTATGATTTTCTATATTGCCCTGGTTGCAGACTAAACGGGAACTGATGTACATCCCTGTATAAGACAGTTGCTTTGATAAATCTGTGTTGTAGGCGCTGTTCTCAGTAGAAAGGGACTCAGAGACGATGTCAGCAGAATTTGTGAACATCATTTGCACATACAGACAATGTACAGGTTGCAGGTCTGGATGCCATGGACTCATCCTGCCGTAAATCAAGTATGCGACACCCTTTTGAGTCATTTGAGGAAGATTTTCACATCCCATTTATGGGTGGTTTATTCTTGGTAAATCACTATAACATAACTTCCGGTTATGTAACGTAGCTATGGGCAATTACCATTCATACTACTAGGTAAATCATCACAGATCATTTATACATGGGCCATTTTCCATAGCTATGTTAAATAACCTGAGGGTAATTCGATTCAGTGGGACTTCCAGGACCCTAAATTAAAGTGGAGGTATTGTACCATGTGAGGCAATATTTTGTGGATATTGCCTGAAATTTGGCCCTCAAAAATGGGCGTCATATATGGTAGGTTCCTCAATATGCCATTGAGCTAATAGGTAGGTCATGATAATTCATCTACAAATTGACCATGTTCCATACCTATATATACCTATTTTAAATAACCAGAGGACAACTTGATATACCCTCTGGTAATGACTAACAGTTTTGCTATTGAAGCCATGGCCCATATACGGTTCGTTGATTTGCCGACCTTGAAGATGGTGATTTTCCATAGTTTTTGTTTATAGTTGATTTACCTATTTATAGTTGATTTACCGAGCATTAAGATGATGATTTTCCAGAGCAAACTGTTAGTTTACCAGAGGCTAACTTGTAAAACCAACGTTGTTTTTTCGAGGCATGGTGCCTTGGACGTTCCTGTGGTTCTCACGGGTGATTTGATCCCTGGTGGACACTGGACAAGCGTGGACGTTCAGGGTGACCATAAGCAGAACGGCAGGAAGAAACTGTTGGGTGTCTCTGAAAATGGGGGATTTGGCCTCCAAATAGCAAGTTTAGAATATTTTAAAGAGACAAGCTATGATAAACCAAATGGTTTTAGGGGTTCAATGGATTGGCTGATGCAACAACTTGAAGGAAACAATGATTCTTAACCCCTTTAACCCCAAATAGAGGAGTACACTTCAGATTTTCCATTACTGTAGCCAATTCTGGGATTTGACAATGTGTTTTTCGGCAAGCAAGGGACCACAGGTCCTTTTGTCATTTCAAGTTTGGCTGTCAGGGTACTCTCTCTGGTGACCGCGTGCTCACCGTAGTGGATGTAGTTGTTGCGTAAGTTTATGGTTCCAACATGTGATGTGTACATGAATGGGTATATACAGATAAGATGATGTACGGATACTTATATATATATATATGTATACAGTTTACCAAGTTTACGGGTTTTACACACATATAATATATTTAGTATATTTACGTAATATATACATATAATTACATATATCATACAGTACAGATAAATACAGACAATATATATATATATTTATTTATTATTTATACACATCCATATCTCCAAAGGATGTGTTTCACAGGATTCGGCCGAATAAAAACAATTGTCAGTCACCCAGGAACTGTACCTCTTTTGGTCGCTTGAGGGGCATAGCGAATACGCTGAGCCTGATGAATCGGGAGGTGCCTTTGCAGGTGAATGATGGTTCTGCAGCATTCAGACTGTGGCAGAGAGACATACTGTGAATGGAATAAATTCTGCACCAGTTGATAGGTGGTTTATCTTATTTTCTTGGGTTCAACCATCCAAGGTGGTGCAGGATTTTTGTTCCATCCAAAGTATGCAACTTTAAGACATAAACATAGCAATATAATTAATGTTGGCAGACGTGTTTATTTTTTGTTCATATTGATATGCTTGCCAGAAATGATGCCTCCAGGGTATACCAATCTTCTAGTCTAAATGCTTATGCTATCTTTGGGGGGATAGCTAGGTTTTGCGATTAATATTTGATGGGTTCTAAAAGTACTGCCTTGTGAACTGTTTTTCGGGTGTCCAGAACCTCGTCTCAATGCAAACAAATCAGATGTCTTTGACATATAAAAGATTGGATAGTTTGGATAGTTGGCTTAGTGCCCACCTTCTGAAGCATAGTTCCAGCATTCATTCGTATCATTTCGTATCTAGTGATTCTAGTGGGATCAGAGTTGGCAGTCCTGGCCGCTAGTCATTGGTTGGCCACGGCTTCGGCTGCACAGGTGGTTCTTCACCCCTTTACCTTTGACTGTGCAGATGTGCCCACTGGCGTCACCTCAGTGACCATGGCTAGATGTATGCGAAGCTTAGCGGAGCTTAGCGGAGCTGTGGGGCAGCCATATCTTTTCCCAAGCTGATGGCGGAAAAACACAAAGAAGGGCTACACATTCGGAAACATGTGCAAAAGGATCAAGTGTGCAGGCAACTAAGTTCTGATATCTGTAGTTCTTTTTGCGGATTCAGCTTGTGAGAAACTATGATGACTATGATGGACACTAGCCACAAAAGAGCACTTCCAGCCAGCTTTGGCCCAAACAGTTCGCAGTGGCCAAAAGGTCGATGGGCATTGATCAGGGTTGTACTTGTACTAGCGGTTAAATAAGATTTCTTTGTTCCCGGACAGTTGCCATCCTCCGATCAGCGCTAGGGATTCCATGATTCCATGATGGTTAAGTCCAGCTCAGATTTGAGTACCCCAAGAATGGGTGAGTTTTATTGATGTTATCCATTGCTATCCCAATGATCTTCAGTCAGCAGACAGCAAAACGTTGTGAACTTTTGGCTTTCTGCTAAATTTTCAAGCCATGGTCCATGGGGTCCATGGGGTCCATGGGGTCCATGGGGTCCATGGGGTCCATGGGGTCCATGGGGTCCACGGCCATGCCTGGCACTCTTGATCTTTACTGAGGAATTGATGCGATTCTGTATCAATCCCAGCGCTTAGAACTGGTTGACGTTCAGGTCACGGGGACAGCGGTGTGGCAGATGAAGCGTTGTGAAGAAAAGACCATAGACAAAACATATGATATTAATTGAGATTATATGATATGTGCATGTGTACTTTTATGATTATGATTACTACATGACATTTTATTTAGATAATGACATGATATGGATATAGGATGATATAGAGAGATATTGATACATATTTAAAGTGTAAGAATATGAGAGATATCTACTTTGAATATCACCAATTTCCCACTACATCGGAAAGATTGAATGCCGTGCTTCCTGGCCATCAGGAGATCCCCGACTTGACGCCGCACCTGCCCATCCCCAACGCGCAGCTTGGGACGAAGGGGCCCACCAGATGCGGCAAAGGACATGGAGGTAACTGCTAATATGATGCATGTATGTATTATATAGATTGTTCGTGGTTTCAATTGTTTCTCTCAGTTTTCTTACATGGGTAAGGATATACATATAGAAAGACAAACACACACACACGGACGGATTTATTTGCAATTATACACATATTAAACTCGATGTATATGGCATGGCATTCTATATCATATCATACATGTATTATATAAGTATATAATATATATATATATATATACACATTATATTACATATATTTTGTAACGTTTTCTTGATGCATCTACGTGTGCAATCCAAAGGTGGGATGATGAAGGGAGGACACCGAGAGGCCTAATGTCAAGCCCCAGTCAATAAACCCTGACTTTTTTTTTGGAAGTTCAGTGATAACTTGCTGCTAAACTTGCTACCCCCTTATAAATAAGCTGGGGGCTTATCACTCCTGGGTTGTCGGTACCCAAAACTAAGTATACAGTGGTTGTTGTCGGTTGATAAATGTCAAATAAGCTCTTCATGAAGCCCACCTTTTTTTGGGGGGGGAGGGGCCTGGGTCACCGGAGCGGGTTTTCAATCCCTGTGCCAAGGCAGCAACCGTCAGATCACGTTCCCATCGTGGCGCAATTTCGCACCAGATCCCAGCATCACACGATGCGTGAGGTGGCCAAAGATACTTGACCTGCGAAAAATCTTTGATGGTGACTGTGGCCATATGGATATGGATATGGATGGTTTGTAAGTGGGGTACTGCTTGGTGCTTTGACATGGCTTTGACATTTTGTTGATGTTCTATCCAACCATGTGATGACGACCCCATTGACGATATGTTTCAGGGAGGGGCCACCAAGTGCATGAGCCATGATATGTCTAATGAGACTCTGAGATGTTTGGGATGTTTGGCTGCCTTTTTTTATATTGTTTTTTCAGGTTGCAAAACATGTCTCTGTTTCAAAGAGCATTTGTTCGGATGAGTTAGAGCCCCGAGGAAGTTCTTGCACATGAACGCACGAGTAAAGAGCTGCCTTGGACTTTACAGATTGCATAGGTGCCCCAGGATTCACAAGTGGTAGCCATGGGGAGGATTGATACCCCAAACCCCCTATTGCCTGTCCATTTCCAGCATTTCCGGGGTTCTGCTTAGTGGAGGAATGGTTCTTGAGCCTTGCGGGCAAGGAAGCCCAGGCCGGAAGGGGCCTGCCCCAGGCCATGAGCAACATTAAATAACATTAATTTGTATGACACAGGCATTGGGCGCTATTGGGCCTGTTTGTTGCTGTACATTGTGGTATTACAATAAAATTCTAGTTGGATCACCGCAAGCATGGGCTTGAACATTTGTACATTGCAAGCATCAAATTTAATGTTGAAATTTGCAGATGTTGATGAATCTTATGCATTGCTTTTTGTTTTCCCATCACAATGTTAAGTTAAATCATACTGAGTTACTGGTTACGACTTCAGTTGGCACTTGCGGTTGTTCAGGTGCCGCTGAACCAGCATCAGTTGGAGTCTCTTGGTGGCACCATGTGGCACCTTTTCGCAGCCAACGACCACACCTGGTGTCTCAAAAAGTGCTAGTGTGCTATGAAAATATTGTTGGTGGTTTGGAACACGTTTTATTTTTCCATAATATATGGGATAATCCTTCCCATTGACTAATATTTTTCAGAGGGTTGAAACCACCAACTAGAAATGGTGGTTCCCCATTCTAAATGAGCCAGATGAAAAGCAAGGCCGGCAAGAAATGGCTGCAATATTTTGCGGTTTGTACTCGAAAGCTGCCTGAAATCTCACAATAGGCTAGACTTCCTTAAAGACATGGCAAGGAATAACAATGGGTGTGGAAGGCAATTGTCCTACTGAAATATAATGTTGGAGCTTTCCTTTTGATTTATGGTAGATGACGCCCCAGCTGCTCGGCATACACCGACCCAGAGATTGAAGCCCAAAAGTCGGACTGCTGTTGGGAAGGAGCATTGGGAAGATCATTGAAAGGGGGAGATCCTTGCATGCTTAGATCATCAGAGACTATATGTGATTTAAAACCCAGTATTATCCCATTATCCCAGCATTATCCCAGTTTTCTTGCTGGATAAAGTTCATTTGGAAAGGGCTCTATCCACTCGGAAATACCCAGGTGCGCCTTTAAGCTCTATGACCATGATGGCACGGGCAGCATCAGCCAGCCCAACCTGCGCAAGGCCATGGCGGGTGAGCTCAAGTGCTTAGCATAACATGGCATTTCCCAGCCGTTTGTTTAATGTAGGAAAGTGTAGTCATGCTGTGGATGTTGTTTTGTATGTTTTTGTTGTTTTGTATGTTTTTGTTGTTTTGTAGACTTGAAATGCTGAACTGAGATAAGTTGATGAGTTGTTTATAGTCTTGTAGTTGCCTACAACAGTCCCATGAATTTTGCTGTTTTTGGATTGTGGATAACATGCAGTTTCATGCTTGGGTTGCATGTCACATGTGCAGTACCATTGCGCTCTTGTCATTTCTCGCACATGTCCGAGGTGCATATTTCAGAGTTGTTGTGAACGTTTCAGAGATGTTGCGCACGTTTCACAGCATTGTCATCGAATGATCATATGATATCATAGGTTTTGGTGTGGGGGAGTGGGAGGGGGTTTGGGGGGTGGGGTGGGCTAACGATGGTAATATCAATATCATTGTTCGAGCAACTTCCAACACGCTCTTGATGCTACGCTCTTAACTTCCTCAAGGAAATTCCAACATTAGCAGTTGAAACATATCAAGAATCAAGAAGTCTTTTTTTGGCACAATAGAAGACGACAACAACAACAACAACATTTTGGCCTCGGCAATTTGGTCAAAACGATGCACAACCAGTGCAAATACCAGTGAAAATGCAAATTTGCTCAAGATGCTGATGTTTAAAAATCCCTGCAAAGAGGGGCGAATTTGAAAAACAATAGAAAGCGATGATGTTGCAAAAGTTTGCAAATGGTGCTGGGGAGTGCGCGCGGTGAACTGTTTAATTGATTGCTTTGGCTATGTTGATGATTGGCTTTCTCTTCAACATGCTCCGATGACATGCTCCCAATTGCATCGGTTCTACAGCGACAGAAGCGCCAAAGATTGCCAACGCATTTGATGACCGTGGGATCTTTCTCTGCAGACATGTTGTCATTGCTGCAAGCGAGATGCAACTACATGCAGGGGGGGCTGTAATTTTGCCCGTCACCATTTTGCCCGGAGCGAAACTTTGAACTTGTTTTTTTTTTTAAGTGGAGGAACCTTGTGCATCCAAGCTTCTATGTACACGGCAGGAGGTCATTTCACCATGGCACTCTGGCAAACATCCCAAACCTGCATATTGAATAGACTAAACTAAACGAATCTGAGGGGGTTCGTGTATACCTTGATAAAAATCTTGGGTATAAGTCATTATTGAGCTAGCAAGTGAATTGCAGAGACTAAGAATCTGACAGAATCTGAGTGAGGACCCTTAGCTCTTAAATTTTGATCCATGCCGTCCCCTCCCTGGGCTTCGTCAGGTCTTGGCGTCGCTCTTCGGTATTTTACCAGATCGCTGCGAGACGGCCCCTATGGCCAGTATGTCAATGTCGGGTAGTTAGCTTTGACCCCCGAGAAAAGAAACAATATAAGCAGACATAAACATCAATCTACAGTACAAGGTCTCTTGTATTTGATCTTCAGTCATACATTGTAGGTCTTCTGCTTTGGTCTCCTTGGTTGGATACGGATCACGACTTTTGGCTGATTTAGAGAGCTACAATAGCCCGGCTACTCTCAAGATCAAACACTATAATTTACCCACAAGTATATGTATTATGTATATAATATACATGTGCCAAGGACAAGACATCTCTGAACAATGGTGAAATTTCTCTTTTGAAAAAGACGCAGACACCCCAGGAACATGATCGTCCATCACACCAATCTCACCAAGCCTATCCGATGCTTCCAAGGTATGTGCAAGTTGCTTTGCAGATCGCACTGAGCTGACGTGTCAAAACTTTATTTCTTTGTACCTTAAGTCGGTGAAGGCCGTGGCGAGCCATCGTCCATGGGTCCGTGTTCCAGGTTTTATAGCTTTGTAGACATTATTACATCACATTTCTGGTCGTCTAACTTTATGTAGAAGAGGTAGGACCCCAAAATTGCGGTGTCCTGCAATCCAATCATATTCCAGTTCCATCCAAATCCTTTTTCGGGTGGTTCCATGTTGGTGCGCAAATGCTCTCAGATCGTGATGCACTCCGCACATTGCCGCCCAATCACTTGGAATGGCTGATCCATCCCCTGTTCATGAAATTTCATAGTGTTTGCTGGTCATCGTTCCGTTATTCTTTCTTATTTTCCCATGTTGTTTTTTTCTTTGCATGTTTGAAGGTCCCTTGTCCCATTCTTGCTAGTGATTTTCGATTTTGTGTTCTCCGTATTTTCTCTTATGTGTTATTTCCCGCACGTTTGGGTTGTAGAAATTGCTCAATTCTCCTTTATCCTACTATACCCGCCCCCAACAACCCAAAATGTGCATAGGATGTAAATATATATATATATAGTTCTTAGATTAATACTGATTAATATCCGATTTATCCCCATAGTTTCCCATTATATCATAAAATAGGGAGTTGATGGGATAATAAGGGAAAGTATATGTTCCCGTAATAACCTATCACATTGTTGGCAAATGATCCTAGAATCGTTTATGCCATGTGATTATCCCATTCACCTACCCCATGTGGCAATTGTTCAATGGAACACCCACCATTGATAGATGATGTTCCCTTCAAAACCACCCATTCATAAATGATGTTCCATTGCTGCATATATGTGATGGGTATATAGTAAGGGGACACATTCCGACATGGTCTTATTTCAACTATTTTCAGGTTCGTATAATTCAGCCAGATATATGGCAATCTCCAAAAAGATCATTAACATATGATTGCAAAACACACACATGTATATATATATAACATCTATTATATTGTATATATACATATATATATATATTGTATTATATATGTGTGTGTACACCGTTTACAGATACATATATAGCATATATCATACAATATCATACACGAAATAGTTTGCACACAGTATATGTACAACATAGCCCCAGTCTTGCGTCGCACGGTTTTCCGGCCAGGCCGCGGGACTGCCTGGACTGGAAGATCTCCGCGATGCCTTTGACCTCTTTGACAGCGATAAGATGCTCGGAACGTCAAGGGGATATCCAGCAGCAACAAGGACGACATAAGTGACATAAGCCATGGTGGTTGACCTTACATAGCCGTGGTATAGCCACTAATATGGGTAAAACAGTAAAACAATGTCATAAGCCACCCATGACTGGAAATGGTAGTTTATACCACCTATACAAATGGTGATGGCTGGGGGATGGTTTATGACATGTTTTACCCACATATTAGAATTTCTCACTCACTCTTTATTGGAAGGTTGGTTGGAGTCAGATCCAGATATATACCTCGAAATTGACTAGACTGTTTGCATGTGCTTTGGTTACTGTCATGATATGTCAGTATAGGTAGTACAGGTGTGTAAATGATATTGCGAACTATTGATTGTAGTCATCATATCCTATGTCACTCGTAGGACGGAATTTGTTATGGCTATGATTGTCCCATTGGTAAATTGGTAAATCCACCTCTTGGTGAATCGGGGAAACTTTCGGAAGATGGTTTGTGACAAAACATGTCAAAACACCATCATTAGTCACCAAATATTCTATCATAGAGTTAGTGTATGTCATTCAAAGGCCCCCTGGCCCTATTCAAAGGGATGCTATTCAGCTTTGCAAAGGTCAGAGGCAATTTGGCTACGAACAAGCAACAAAATGCATTGAGGTAGCCCAAAATGGAAAATATTGGTCATATTTTAATTTAAAATAAAAAAATAAAAAAGAAAAAATAAAAAAAATATAAGAAAAATATGTTTTCATATTTTTGTTGGGCCGATTTTTTGCTTCCAATACTACTTTTAGAAGGGGGCAGGGCACCCTTCTGCGCAACGACCTCGTCCCATACCTCACAACGCAGAAAAAAAATATGTTCATAGAAAAAATATTTTGTTCATAGGAAAAAAATAGGTTTTCATAGAAAAAAATGGGCCCAATTCCATCGATTTTAAAATATCATAAAGCAAGATAAATTAAGATAATTTAGCAAAAAGACTCTGATTAGCACCCCTTTGAATAGAGCCCCAGAGATGGAGAAAGATGTATGGTAGCATGCAGGTTATTATGTTTGTTTTTACTTGTTATGTTCGTAAATGCATATATATATAGGGAGAGATTGTTTATTATAATTATCCGGCCAAAAAAGGAAGATTCTGGGTTCTTCAAAAAAACAGCCATGCTGTATCATCGAAATCATGATCGTCAATCTCCCCCTGACCCCCTCGAATCAAGGTTGCTTATGAGATGTGAACAGCTGCAACAAAAATGGCTGTTTTTGTTTGAAGGCCTCATCATCATGCTATCCAATACCTCAACTTTGAAGTTGGGGGTCCGGGGGTTTCTTGGGTGTTGAGGGGCTGTTACTATACGATGGCTGTTTTTTTGAAGAACCCGGTATTATGTCAATCAACTGCTGAATTTGGTAGGTTTGATTTACAAATTTTATTGTATGTGGCGGGTTGCTATCTTATAGTGATCATTTGATATATATGGTATGTAACCTGTTCAGATTGAGCTCGACTGACCAGGGTATGCCTACAGTCTAATTGGATGTTTTACGTAGTGGGCATGGGGAGGGTTAATGAAACCGTCGTTCCTACTAAGTAAACCCTGGCTGCGTGGTAAGAAGATGATATATAACTATTTCTTCGGAAAAAAACAACTGAAGAGTGCCGCTTTTGATTAATATACCTGTGCAGCCCTGCCACTAACATCTACCAACAGCAATATGAGAGCAACTGGGAACATTGCTTCCCGGATAGTTGGTCTTGCTTGTTCCCAGCCCCCTCTCCAAAATGTGTTACACCAGCATGTTCTACAAAGTGAATCCAAAATGTCAGAACAGGTGAGCTGCAACTGTAGGGGCTGCCTATCGATGAGATAAAGGGGTCTTCTCACCATGATATCAACAGTACCCTTTGAGGCTCTAGCCAATTGAATTGTTTTGCATGGGCCATGTCCAGTACCCAATACCATGTTTTCTTGTTTGAAGCTTTGGTCATTAGTGCCATGTTCATCGGGAAGGGGTTTCAGCCACTTCACGCCCTGGACGCTCATGCCCAACCTACTGGTAAACCATGCTGTGGTAGACCTCGGATTTCTTTGGTGGAATTTCAAACGGAATGCAAATGGCTATCAAAATCCCATCCCATTTGTTACTGCATTATGGAATTTGGCCCCGTTTTAGCACAGGGGCACAGGGGCATAGACATGTAGCTCTGTTGCTGACCCCTGGATTCTGCAACAGGAATGGCAGCTTAGACTTGTCTGAGCTTCTGTGGCTGGGCTGCCGCCGTCCAAATGCCTCTTCAACCAAAACCCCAAGGTCACTGATGACCCCTGTGTGCATAGAAGCCGTGTTTTGTTCATTAATTCTATCTGCAATTTATGCACTGTCTTATGCACATGGTTTGCTTGCACTGAACAGCCTGCATCAGCTCGCTAATCGCATTGTTGCTTGGTTAAATCCCATTAAGTCCCATTATGTCCCATTATATTTTTCCCGCTGAATCCTAATTTCCATGACAACAGCTGCATATCACACATACACACACATACAGAGATTGGTGCACCGGTGCACAGTCATCGGTCACCCAAATCAAGGCATGCCTTCGAACAATGTGCTCCTAGCACGGTGCCTAGCGCTTCAGCTGCATTTGGAACTGGGTTTGTCTGAATATATATATATATATATACATACAGTATATATATATATATAAAAAGGAACCCCATTGGAACCCCGTTCTTATGCGATGTCATCACTGCAGTACCAAAACAAGTGCTGTGAACCTTTGGCAACAAATGCAACTTGTTTAATCCCTCAGGAGATCGAATAGAAGAGGTGTTTCATATCATCGACCCTTGGTTGCGGCAGCTCCGGGGTGGATGCGCTAAAGGACTGACGGTGACCCATCAAAAAAGATGGTGGCACGGTGGAAACCTTTCACACGAAGGGGAAACCTATCAGTGCTTATCAGGAACATTTCGGATACAACGCAAAACGGACTGGCCAATGGACAGTGGATGGTGTTCCTCCCAAGAGATCAGTGCAATCTGGGATGCCTTTGGTACCGAACCTTTGGGTCATACCTTGTTGCATGTCCCGGAATTGGAATCCAGTGAGTCTACTGTCACCCTGGGTGGTTCCCCTCTGCACCAATTGATCCAAGAACAATCCTCTTGAAAAAAAAATATAATTATATATATATATATTATCCTATATACTTGAAAATAGTGGACACATACTTTCTATGCTGGTTGGTATACTATGTGTCACTATGCGTTCCTATAAAATGATAATGTACCGCATCTATTTTGTTTGCTGGAACCTGCCAGCATACAGTAAGGGGCTCCCCAAATCCCCAAAACCATTGGCCTCGGTCCTCATGACTTGGAAAAGCAACCGATTCATCTCAGCCCAGTTGACGTCTCAAGATGCCACAACTGTTTGCCAAGGATGCAAACGGTGATGGAACCATTGATTTGGATGAGATGATTCGGTATTTGGCGACTCGAACCCCCAAAAAAAGGATGTGAGTGCTAAAGCTGATGAAAGATTGAGAAACACAAGGGTCACAAGAAATCCAAGCTCATGTTTGAAATCATTCGTCTTTCCCAGAGGTGTTAGAACCAGACTGCCCACCCGAAAATCTCGTGGTGGACCCCTGAAGTCATCAAAAAGTTCTTGACCTGAGGGACAATGGGGTACGGTAGGTATCTCGTTTGGACTCCATGATATGGTAACGGCGTTGATAAGAGGCCGTGCAGTGGTGTAAGATCGACATTCCATCATAAGTGTTCAATTTCAATTTCGTGAGGGTTTTTCAACATTTTCATCATATCATGGTGTTTTCAATGAGCTTAAAACCACGTAGTGTTCACCGAAAATATTGACTT